GGCAACGAATCGCTTGATTGTGGGACACATGAGTCGAAGTGAGCTCGTTCTATGGGACTGGATTTACTTAGGACCAATAGCGCTTATGCTCAATCAGTGAGTTAGACACGTCTCTGCAGTTTGGGGTTCTTAATGTTTTTTTTAATAAGACTGTATCGTTGGAACCATTAAGTATTATTAGTGGTCAACCCTCTCGGCATTCAGGTACTACGACTTCTGGGTTTGCGAAAAGAAACTTTTGGTGTGGGTCACATGTTACACACTCGCTTCACTATTTGTATATTGTTGCTTCATTACTCGTCAGATATGCTACCATATGAATATATATTGTTTCAAGGTCCCAATTAAACAGAGTTAGGAATAGAATTATTGTTAGTGGTAAATTTGCAATCTTTGCCGTTTAGGTAGGTTTTTGAATTGTACGTAGCTTGTATAAATTGCGACGTTTGTCGCTTCGTTTCATCCTTCAGTGATATTTGTCTGAAGACAAATAATGCGTTCAATAGTTGTTCTTTCATCACAGATATTCAAAATGTAGATACTTTCGAGTGATCAAGAAGACGTTCCAGTTGTATATTAGAGCTCGTTCATTTTAAAGCTCTCAAAGATCTTTGTGCAAATATTTGTAATCTTTTTTTCCACATTAGGCACGTAAATGTAAATGTCTCTCGTCGAGGTAGAGACAGGAGTTCTTTAGTTTCTCCGTCTTGCACCTTCATTTTCCATCAGTTGATTCTTTTTCTTCATATGTGTATGACGCTTTAGTGGTGTTGTGATGTACGGTTAAATGCTAATACAGCATTCTTCGAATGTCCCAGCGTTTTTTCACAGAGTGGTCACAAACCGCCTTTGTTTCTTTTCTTTTTGTGATGTAGATTGATTATAATCATATTTTTCTGAAATGGAGAACAGGTGTCGTTTTAATGGCACCATTTTTTCTTTTATTTTTCCACTGTTTTGGATTGAATTTTAGCTTTATGTTTCGGTACATTTTCGTTCCTCATTTCTTTATAGCGTCAACATCATGTCCAGCTCGGAAAGGCTTCTTCGAACTCGCTGCGCTTTTGTGTTGCCGAAGAAGGGTCGAAGTTGTCGTATGTTAACCAAAGAGGGGCGAAAGTATTGTGGAGAACATGCAGTTTTTCAAGAGGATAATGAGGTCATTAGATTGATATGTTTCGCATTTGATGAACATTTGCAGCTTTTGCGCATTCACTTACTTGCCCAATATCCCGCATACTCATTGCAGGACCGCATAACATGCCCCAATGATCCCAAACATACAGTGGACAGCCGTGTGATTCAGCAGCACCTTCTGAGGTCACATCATTGATTTCGAGTTTGTTTCCCTTTCCTTCCATTTTGTCATACATATATCGGTTGATTAACGACAGCAGTCCCATCAAATATGAGAGAAGAAGTGCTCAAAACGAAAGAATCATGTCAGTCACGTTGAGCATGCGCAGTGAATCCCGAGGTCATATGCGAGTAGAATCAGTCGCGCCGCTGGAAGTGTGCGCATTTATTTATTGAAATGCCACTTGTACCTTCTTTGAACATGTCTACCTTTTCCATTGCGTATATCTAAGTTGAAACTTGGCCAGTTTGCATTCGGGGGGTGCGCAGCAGAGGCGATACAGGCATATTTCGCACTCAGTGTCTTTCTTGTGAGCAATCCGGTCTTCTCGACTTCTCGAGGATCGTCTCGTAGAAAGCAGGCTCACTATAGTTGTAGTTCTTGATCATGGGGTTGGACTGGCCACATGAGAAGCGAACGTAACCATCGTAACACACAACTTGGCAGCATAGTGAACAGGCCACCTATTTTAATCCATTCAGGGACATTAAGCAGACAAAGAAATGCGCTACTCTGAATATTTTTATTTCTTTGCCATTTTAGTGTGTGAGTTTGATCTTCCTTAAAGGTGTAACTCTCGTGTGATAGAGGAGCAGTGGATTGTAAAGGACATGAATGCGTTGGTGGAAGAAACAAAGTTCACTGCAAAAATCGACAGGAGACCAAGCGAAGTTAGTTCCATATCTTATATTCATACTTATCTTTTAATCTCAATTCTTTTCTAATTCTCTTTCTACGAATCACAAGGGCGAGACAGCTGGGGCAAATGATGCAGTTGTCTTTCGTACGGTTCGGGGATCCGATGCCACGCTGATAAATCATCTCTTTGAAATTGGTTAATCGGTGGAAGGTTCTAGTAAGAAGATGAAATCACTGATTGCACGCCGGTTGGCTTCAGCATTTCGTCGAAAAAGCGAAGTACCTAATAAAAGTCACTGTAACTATGGAGGGGAGCCACGCATGTTACGCATTCCAAACGAGTGATTATAACAATACTTTTCTGTGACACTCACACCTTTCTAATTCAGGAGGAAATTGCTAGCGCCATAGAAAAGCTCCAGTCTTGCTACAGTTCCGTCCGAGAAGAACTTTCAGCTGACCAAGCTCACGTCCTAGAAATTGATGAACGTCTTGAGCAAGCTTCTGACCTTTCTGAGAGTAAACGTAAACATATCATCCAGCTTAGCTCCATAATAGGTACCTGTTTCGAAGTTTTCTAAAGTTTCTATTTTATTCATCGCTCATATTTTAGTAGATTCCAAGTTGGGTCTTCTTGAAACCTGGGCGTGTTGAAATATTGCTTGATGTTGTTGTTTGCCGTACAGGTTACGATGGAACTCCTCTATTTGGTCGACGTTTCGAAAAATTCGTCGTCTTCAGGACCTCTGTAGTCCCGACAGCGCCACGTGCTCCCGTTTCTTCGAAAAAAAATTTCGAATCGTTTGAAACATCAACCGAATAAAGGGATTCCATCGTAACAACCTGTACGGCAGAACAACAACATCAAGCAATATTCATATTTTATTTTCCACATCAATTCGTATTCTGTTCAGGTCACTTAGTGCGTGTTGGCCTTATAAGAAATGATTCTTCTGCATGCCTTTTGGAACTTGGTGCAGGTAAAGTGAGTAAGTAGGCATTTGAAGGCTTACATTTGGACTTTTTCATTTGTGATGCGATCTATGAGAAGGAAAAATTATGAAAAGCTAAAACATAAGATGTAGATTGGAGCAGAATAGGAGATAAGCATAGAATAAGAACAAAGAGAGAGTCTAACTCACATCGTGCGGGGGGATAGCATTGCAGAAAAGCGAAACCCAGCCCATGCGCATGAAGGGCAAGAGCTCTACGGATATGCCGAAGCCTCAGGTGATAACCTATTTCGAGCTCTTTCACGCTTCCAAGGCACGGGCTTTTACTCCTCTCTTAAATCTCTTCTTCGTTCGAGGGGTGAAGGGGGAGGGGTATGACCCACCTTTTGTTCTTAATGGTGGACATCTACGAAAATATTAGGTCGGTCCATAAGTCTTGCAACAAATTACATTTCATGCTAGAGAATTTTTGGGAGAACTCCAGAAAATCCGCAACATATTTCCTGTCGTAGCATCAACCTTTGCAATTGCAACCAACAGTCCAGCTCATTGTCTGGTTACTTACTATGGATATTACACCGAATTCGCGAGAGGGCTCTCGGTGCCCTTAACTTTTACGAGTACTGCTTTTAATGTTCCGCAAGTCATGCTAGACAAGGATTGGCCAGAAGATGGGCGAGGGCACACTCTCTCAAACCACGGTGCAACAGCGCTTCACCCTGCTCAGCGTTGACTTTTTTTATATGAAAATAACCCACACTCCAACCACCCTGTGACTGACAATCCTGATGCTCTATCTGACACTGTTAAAAAGGGATCTGGATAGATTATCTATCTTTTGCTAGAGCGATTCCTATGCGACAAGTAGACAGCACTGTGGCATTTCCAAAGACTTGTGAAGATCCCAAAATATAGAGTTTGGTCCCCACGTGCCTTGAGCCCGATTCAGCTCCAAACATGATCTGATATCGTCATGTTCAGGTCGACTTACTATGGATTATACGAATGACCATCCGTCACAGTTGCCGAGGATGAGGAGTGGGTACAGTTTGCTAACAAATGAACAAGCGATGGTAGTCCATCTCAAACGCTTTGGGAGTTCTCAGTGCTTAGGCTCAACCTGGTCCAAGTGGGGCCTTCTCGGATTTTAAGTGGAACACGAAAGGAGTTAGACTCTGGAAACCCCTACGTGTAGATGTCGCAGTCAACGCGGAAGTCATCCATCCACAGCTCGATTGCAACTCTTTTAAAAAAGAAAAACGAAAGAAAAACAGGGCAAAGTTTGCTTTTGTACGACACCGTTGAACCGCCTCTTGCTAAGAAAATCCAGGAAAACTTTGAGACTCTAGGACGAAGAGTTCTTCTGTATCCACGTTATAGCCCTGACTTCTTGCTAAAGGATGCCCACCTGCTCCCCTCTCCAAACCGTCTCCTAGAGGAGAAAGCTCATCCTAACTATGATGATGTTAAAATTGACACCTAATCTTTCTTCGATCAGAATTCAGTAGAGTCCTACAAGGGAGGCATCGAGCAGCTACTATTGTGTTGGCACTAGGTTGTAGATATTGATGGAGGGTAGCATGCCGGATGAATGGAACAAAAAGATGATGAAATTATTAAATTCAAAATTCGGCTAGTTTGTTGCAAGACTTATGAACCGACCTAATAGAAGATCAAACGTAGAACACGAATCTGCTCAAGTTCAATATTACGGAATATTTGAAAAGCAGCCTTTTTTGATGTCTATAAATAGTGTTTCCTCTATAAAGCTTGGGTGTGATATACAGGTGAGTCGGGTGAGTCGCAAATAGCAATACAGTAGCCGTTATTACTGTAACCGCTCAAATCATTTGAAGTTGACAAATAAATGTAAATGTAAAGCTATGTTGATGTTCTGCTTTCAGTTTAACTTCTAATTTGTCAGTCTGTTACTCTAAATTCTTGCTTCTGTTCTTTTAATGGTATTTTGCGAGCGATGTAATCTGCTTTATAACCTGTTGTCGTCGGTTTTACTTCGACTTTCGCTCTTATAGGCGCATCTGACATACTGGATGACCAAGATAGCTCCTCTGTCGAAATTTCTTCTTGTTGACAGAAGTGGAGCCAGGAATAAATACGATAACAGAGCTCTCCAGGTACGATGGACCCTTCACTGATATTTCTATAGAAAAGTCCCAGAAAAGTTACATTAAGGAAAACCCTTCGTTGAATATCAAACGCTTGCGATGTTCCATTGAACATCTAAACCTCGCCGAAGTGGAAATGCTCAAGGTCAGCTCATTTGTCGAACTACTGAGCAATTTTAATCTAGTATGAAGGACTTTCTTTAAAACAAGTTTTCTAATTAAATTACCGGAGTTGCTTATGATTATCATTATCTCATTGAAGTCTCTAATAATGTGAGGCCGTAATTCTTGATTGGTATTTCAGAGTGTGTCGAGTCTGTGCGCGGTTTGCAAGCATTTCTGTGGCACTGCCACCGACGCTGGAATTCGATGCCTTTCAAACGGCATGCGTAATGGACTAGGTCTCGATGGCTTCGTTTTAGTACCTTGCTGTCACCACAAATCCCGATACAGTGAGGTAAATTGCGAGGACTGCTTCTTTAAAAGGAAGTAAATATTTATGCCCCTAATTATTTAATAGTGCTTCAATAATAAGGCGGTTTTACTCTTAAAGGCAGCTTCTGATTATTTCAAGTGATTTCACTCACTTGAAATAAGAAGCCACTGATAGCGTTGTAACAACTTGTCATAATACGCTATGTTCGCATCCTCATTGACAACATTTTAGCATACTTTCTAGGCAATCACATTCCGTGGCATTCCTCTTCGTGATTTTTGTTTTAGTATTCCGGTCGCGAGTTTCTTGCTCAATGGAATATGGACAGTGAAGGTGATTTTGCCGCTTTACGTCACATTGCGACGTGGGCTGTCTGTGGATTTGGCAAGCCAAAGAATAGTGGAAATTCTCATGCGGATGATCGGCCCATCGATCAGCACACTAACGACTGTACGGTAGAAGGTAATGGAGTGAACAATGTTGAATGTTCGATGGATGCCGAACCGAACCCACTAGAACGCAGCTCTAGTGACGTGATTCCACCTTCATGGTATGTGTTTTGTCAACCGATATTAAACCAAGACAGTGGTATTTTGGATTGAACTTAAGCTTAGTGATCAGCATCAAAGACCAGTCATCAAAGCCAACGGTGCTAGTGCTAGCCACACTTCAAGAAAATTACGGCATCAAGTGAAATTTCGTTAAGGAAATTTCCCAAAAAATCCTACATTTAGGTCGCCATCGTGGAAAGAGGAAATGGGACGTCAAGCGAAGGTAGTGCTAGAATTTGGGCGCGTTCGTCACCTCGAAAGCCTTGGATTCTTCACACGGGTTATAGAATATGTGCCGAAATCAGTCTCACCAGAAAACTTACTTATACTAGGAATCAAGCTCAAATCGCTTTAGTAGACATCATTGTTTTTCTTGTAGGTAATATTTGTCGTTATGTGCATAGTTTATACTTTTCTGTTGACTATTGACATAGTTTTATTTCTGGTTGTTATGTTCTGTGATGTTTGATAAATTTTTATTTTATGAAACGTTTTCTTAATATATTTATCGTTTCCATTACGTGAAATCCTATTATTTCTCAATTTATTACGTCGGTAAGCAGTAGTTTATAGTTTGATCTGCTTGTCTTACGTAGCAGCCATAGATATTCTGCAAGATTTTCGTTTTGCGAATTGGTGGCTATGTGAGAGAAGGACAAAGACAACTGCAATAAGTTATACTCTGTGCTAGGCTCAGTATCAGTTACCGTTGACCGTTGGAACGTCAATAATTCACCCTGGCTCGGGGGCAGTTTAGGGCTTTATTAATTCGGTTTGAAATACAGGATGTCATTTCTACGGTCACGATTCCTTTTCAATGCAGTGCGATTTGCTTCAAATTCGGGTCGAAGCCATGTGTTTCTTGATGTAAATATTGGAGATACTCACGCAGGAAAGATCACGATAGAAGTGAGTTGCACGCTTTTGTTGAATGTTCTTTTTTGGTAATCTTTCTGAGCTATTGATTTAGTTATTCAATGACGTGGTCCCGAAAACCGCGGAAAATTTTCGAGCGTTGTGCACAGGAGAAAAAGGGAAGGGCAAAAGTGGAGTTCCTCTTCATTTCAAGGGCTCTACGTTCCATCGTGTAATCCCCGAGTTCATGATCCAGGTAAGTGCGAAGAATCAACACATTCACGACGGCGCCTTTTTTGGCTTTTAGCTGGGGTCTTTGCCATCGCTCTACCTCACATCGGTTGTTTACTTCTTTTGGTGTTATGCAAAAAATCACGATAAAGGTAGGCGATCATTAGCTTTGGACCCATATGTGCTGACGCCGGCGTGAATGTGTGAGGGATTCAAGCGACCATTAAAAAACGTCTTGTGTTTTTTCTTCAGGGTGGAGACTTCACTCTCGGAGACGGACGAGGAGGTGAATCTATATATGGTCATAAGTTTGAGGTTAGTATGATAGTAAACATTTGAAGTGATTTTTTACCAGTTTATTTTCTCATTTTAGGATGAGAATTTCACTCTCAAGCATACTGGTCTCGGATGCGTTTCTATGGCAAATGCTGGTCCTAACACAAATGGAAGCCAATTTTTCATATGCACTGCTGACACTCCTTGGTATGTGGGTTTGATCAAGTATTCGGTGTGAAACAGTTCTAATCATAGGGTAAGCTGCGCAGCCAATTTCTTCTAGTAGTCGCACTCTCATTGATACAGCGCTTATAGGTAGTGGTTAGATAATTTGCGTTGATCTACTTATGTCAAATTATGGAATGGCGGTGAGGAGAAAACCAGAGCAACATTTCAGAAGAGGATTTTCATCCATTTGTCAATTTTGAATTAGTTCACGGCTAGGTGGTGATTCCTTGCGTGAAGGCAGCCCACGTAAAAAATTCGATGACAAAATAAGCGTACTGCTATTTGATACGAACTGCACCCTCAAAATGAAAATTGAGCGGAAGTGATCAGGACATTGCAAAATTCAGCAAACTACAACCACCACTGAATACTGGGCCATTCCAGAGGCCATGTCAATTTTGAGTTTGCAGTGTAGCTGCGTTGCTATCAATGCACCTTTCATCTTGAAATGCCACGTCTTGCTTCCACCTACACTGGTACAGCCCATATCTTGCCGGTGTCCACGGATTTCACGTGGCTGCCACTGCACTTGATGGAAGCGGCGTTGCGGAGCTGTTTCCAAGATACCTCCCTTAAAATCAGCAAATTTTCTGGAAATAGTTTACCTCGACTTTTATCAAGCGCAGTGACCGCCACTTCAATTCCATCGGCACACCTACTCAGACGGTTAGATGTGGACTGTACCATACTTCTCTGTGTACACTCATTTTAGCGTACTCAGTACGGAAGCCTTGGAAGGAATAACGGATCCAAGCGAGTGAGCAAATCGCTGTGTGGCAAGAGAGATGTCATCCACTTTAATTATCAACTCATCTGCGCCCTCTTAACAAGCTAGCGCCTAAGCCTATCTTCTCGGAATAAGGTAATCCGCCCGCCATGTGAAAAAAGCTGGAGTGTGCGAAATCATTTCTACAGTATAATGGATCCGTAACTCAGACCGGAGCGGCTACCCCTCCTAGGTATAGGCTTTAGAACTGTTTCATTGCAAGGCTGCAGACGATTGTCCGAACGAATGAATTGTACTCATCTGCCTCAACAATCTTATCGCTCAGAGCTCCAGCAGTCCTATTTTCAGATAATCCTGTTTTCGAATAACTGTTTTTCAAAGCTTTTTAATTTTTAGGGGTCACTTATTGTATGTTCAAAAAGTTTAAAAGTCGGGCGATCACTACGATAGTTTAAGGGGTGTTTTTATCAATCGCGAAGACTGCACGGGGAAAAAGCAGTTTTCTGTTCTCAACATTCATTTTTTCGACGGCTGCCTCTATAGGAACCAGTTTGATGATCTCAAGCCGGTCCAAAAATTCGAAATCCCAATGTCACCGAAGAAGAAACCTTACAGAAGATTCTGGGCAGCTAGGGAGTTGTGCTGGAATAGTTGGACGCAGGGAGAATAACGGTCGAGGAAGTCCTCAACAGGGGGTGGTATTTGCTCCGATGAGAGATGGGGGGTCGTAAGCTAAGGTTTATCAGCGGACACAATGGTGCTGCTGGGGTGCGTGACGATTCGATCGTGGCGATGGCTAGGTCACCGCGCCAGCCGCCGCAGCCTGCGATGCGACGTCGGCCGTGGCCAGAATTCAGGGTTCTGGCATTAGGGAATGTAGGATTGTATGAAGTCACCAGTCGTGAAACACGGTATGTGATCATCTGTCCCCTTAAAATAAAGGATCCTAGTCCTGCGTCTTGGAACGTAATATTTTTCCGATTAAGACAGATCATCGCTCTCTGATAACAATTCAGGTAATTGATTAATAATGAAGTCTCATTATGTTAAAAGGACATCCTTTACATGGCACAAGCTCTGTACAGTGAGGCTTAAATAACTGCGGAGATCTTAAGGTGGCTCTTGTTGGCTCATTGATGTCTGGAACTCTGGACTTATCAGTTATCTAACCCCACCAGCAACTTATTGATAAGGACCATTAAGCCAAATCCCATGCAAAAAATTCAAGAAGAGGAGATTCACAATCTCCTTGACATAGTCAAACACTGCAACCGCAAATGCCTTATTCATCGGAAGAGGTTCGGAAGGAGAACAATAATAAAGGAATGATCATGCTATACTATGACCATAAGAGTTATTCTGATTAATTGGGACTAGAGACACCTTCCGGCCTGCATAAGTAGTTGTCGTGTGGATAAAACACCTTTCAAACCACTGTGGATAGGCTCACTGCATGGCGCATACCAGAACTGAATGGATCTGAGCCAAAAGTATCATATTCAGTTTACATCGCTGAGAGGTGCGTTCTAGGAGCGCTTTGAGGGTAATCAAAGAAGTTTCTTGCTATGGCGAGAATGAAGTAGTTTTTGAGTGGCTTCGAAAATTTCCTTGACATTTCCTCGACGCAATTTTCTCGCGAACTAAGAAATTCTTCAAGCAATTGCGGAGCTTTTCGGAAAGCAAAATTCTTCTAGGTTACAATGCTGGTCTCCGATTTCGAAAAGTTTCCCGATCACCAAAGTTACACTCTCCCAAAAAGTGAAAACTCGCATGTAAATTTCAATTTCCTCGACGATTCCTCAACGTCTCCAACTCTCGAGTAAAAACGTACTTGAAAAAAAGCATAGCACGATTTAGAAACTGGAAGACTTGTGCATTTGGAAACTGTCTTCCTTTTCTAAAATGGTTGTCGCTGAAGAAAGTTATAGTCCTTCAAATAGGGGGTACGTTTGGCGATTTTTCCAACTAGCACGCTCCAGGCTTAATGCGCAACGCGACCGTGGGTAGTTAGTGCCGCTATAGTGGAGCACGACGTTATAAACAGCCTGTTGGCAGCACCCTCTCCCCTTTTCTACTCCCGTTCTTCTCTAGTAGAGGTCTATTCCCTGGACTTATTTTAATTTCTCGTCTATCAAAGGTTAGTCCGTTTTCAGATCCATTTCTTCGAAAAAGGCTAGCCTTTGCAAAGTTAGGTTTAGGATTCGAACCATGGAGCATGCGTGGCATCGGCGCTGCCTTCCTCTTGTACATCTAAAAACAACATTTTTTTTTCATGAAACCGAATGTACAGAGGATATAAAGGGGTCGTATTGGAGTTCCTGATAAGGGGAGGGGGGTCGTAAAGAGGTGGCCATTTCCTCGACACCCTGGGTGGACGGTTCTACTTATAGTTAGGTGAGGTCGCTTCGGCTCACACCTAGTATGTTACTGGAAAAATCGTTCCGCACCCTGCTTTTTGATACTTTCTTGGTCACGCAACCGTTTTTGTCATTTTTCAATCCTGACGTCTGGTTGCAGCCACATTACCACCCAACGCTTCTTTTCATTTTTAAGTTTCGAAAAGGCATATCGTGGAACAAGCGGACGCGCTTGCGCGTCAGACAAATCGCGCCCGTCAAATGGCAAATGTCCCATGCGGCGAAAATCTGCGCTGTCGTCGACGCGTTAAAGGAGGGTTCAACGATAAGAACGAAGGTCGATGAAAGGGAAACCTACCTAGTGGAGAGACAGGCAGAGCCCCTAGGGTGCAGAACAACCAACTATTAAAACTCCCGGCAGTTCTGCAGGGAATGATTGGATAGCACAGAGAGCGTTGGAAAGGGTAGTGATGAGAGTCGCGTCAAGCGGAACTTCGTAGGGAGAAGGCTAGAGGAAGAAATTCGAAGAGGACAATAGTCATTATGAAAATAAACAAGGAAATAAGTGATTTTCCATCAGTTAGCACTTCAGAATTGGATCTAGGGACCCTTTGAACAAGGAATGGAGAGCGTGACAGATAGACGCATCGCTGGCGCTACCAGAATTGCGGCCGCATCTTCTGGCAGCGTGAGCGTTGCAACCAGCGGCGGACTCGCCCGTCGCTGGCACGACGCGCAGGAAATAAGAGTTCTGGGGGAAGGAGCTTTTGAGAGTTTTTGAGCTAGGGAAGGTATGATTCAGTCATGTGCGAGCTCCTTCCCTTTTTGGAAATTTCAATCCCTTGGCTCATAACTGCTTCTTTGCACCATCCTGAAGGAAACCCTACGAAATTCAAAAGTCTCGATTATGTGGCGTGGAATAAGTCCGCTCGCTAGCAGTTCGACGTAACCTTGAATGAGTCCTTGAGCGAAATGCGCACATTTAAAGGACGAATTCACAATAAGAACTAAGGTCGAGTGAGGGTGAAATCGCCTGGTTGGGATGCAGGCGGACCTCCCGAGGGTGCTGACCAACGCGCGATTGACAGCGAAGGATTTGACCTCGACGCTCCAGCCTAGGCGCGGTTGGCGGGGTACGCCCACCGACCATACGATCAATGCCCCGGGTCTATACGTGGCGAGTGATTAGATAGCAGAGAGAGCGTAGTTTGAAGAGGGCACAGCGATGAGAGTGCCATCAGTGCGCAAATCAACGTCGAAGGAAGGGGTCCCATTTCTCGGGTTTCGGGGCATTTCAGATAGTTGCTTCTTCTTCCCCACTTCGCTGACCACTTCAACCCTTAGCGCCACTTCCACATTTCCAATGAGCTTTTGATCGTAAATTCTGCCTTCAAAACGATGACGGAAGGTGTACCCTATTACTTTAATGCTTGCTAACGGGTCGCATATCACCGATTGAAAGGGGATATTCGATCTGGAATCTCGTTCCCGCATTACGCATGTGGAAGTGGCGCTAAACATTACTGTTTCTTCTCCAATAAATGTTAAGACGTAACCTGCCTTTTAAAAGCAGGTTAGGTTTCTTGATATTGTTGTATGTGTTTGTCCAGACTATCAGCCTTCATTTGCTCATAAACTTATGGCTTCTTCGATGATCACTACGACAGGTGACGGTCTCCTACTTTGAGTTAACTACTTGCATTCTTTGCAGGCTGGATGGCAAACATGTCGTCTTTGGTCAAGTGACTGATGGGTTGAGTGTAGTGAAAAAAATTGAATCAATAGGATCAAGATCTGGGAAACCGAAAGAAAAAGTGACAATAGTGGACTGTGGAGAAGAAAAGGTTGCCGAAGCTGAAGCAGCATAGATTTCAAGGTCACAAGGTTAGATTTAGGTTTTCAATGTTCTTTTGCTTGTTGATTTAT